GCTTTTGATCCTTCTTATTTTGTCTTACCAGTCTTTAGGAGTTGTCTAAATACTAGAGTTTTTTTCAGGTATGTTTTAATGTTCTTTGGAACAGGCTTGAAAGACATTTAAGGCTAACTCCACAGGAAAAATTGTATCTGATTTACTGTTTCAGCTTCAAAACTCTCCTAAATCCCTGTTTAGTTGCCTGCCTACCCTAGAGCCAACTACAGTTCACAGCTACTAGATTGTTGTCCAATAAACACGTACAGTTAAAAAGTCCTTAAGTAAGACCTGGTGAGATCAAGCCCAAAAAACCTCTCTCAGGTCATAGTTTCTTTCATTAAGAAGGTAAATCAGAGCTAGGTGTTACAATATTCAGCACTGACAGTCTTTTTTTATTGATGCCCAACTTGGGCTCCATAAACATTCTATAACTCACACACGGGAGGAAGGGCCCTGGGGATTCTTGGGATTTGTGTGATGTGGTAGGTTTGCAAATAGCTTTGCAAACCTGTGTCTGGATATCTTTCTTCTGTGGATCTTCAAGAATATGAAAGCATCACCCACAAGTGGATGCAGACATAAATATCTGCTCAAATTGCACGATAGGTTGATTTGAGGTCTAAGGGTTGAATTTTGTAAGTTTGACTTCTAGTTTTCTTACTCAAGCAATGTATGCAGTGTTTCACATACATATATATATATCTGAGGGAATAACACATACTAAAGGCAAATCAAAATAGTATTTTAGTCATTTTAAAAAAAGAATAGACCCTTGTCAACTCTGAAAAACCATGATCTTTAATTCCCTTCTGGTTCTAAAGTAAAGAACAAACAACTTTCAACTGCAAAAGTAGTTAAAAAAATTTCTAAAAAAGAAAAAAGATAAAAGTACATGAGAGGCAGTTATCTAAATTCAAGTAGTTTATATTGAAGCATAAAAGATTTTTGTGCCTTGCAAAAAGTTAACTTACAAATTTTTGCTCAAGATTTTTAGCAACTTTTAAAACTTTCTCAAAATATTGTCATCACAGACATCCCTGATGTTAAAAGCCTGCACTGTCACCAGAGTAATTTGAATCAAGACAACTGACATCTAACACCAAATGCACACTTCCGTAGAATATATATATATAAAGGCTCCTGGGCTCTGATTAAACAACAGCTGCTCTACAACCAGACCCCAAATCTGCTGGACCCCAGTAACAGTCAAGCCTTATCTTATGTTAGCAGACAAGTTCAACCATCAAACAACACAAAGAGCGCAGCAAGATTAATGAACCATTCTTGTAAAACCACCACGTCTAATATAATGTTTAAAAGTTCTTCAGCAATTCAGTGGAATTAAAAAACATTAGTGCTATTCAGTATTTAGGGTCTTATTTAAAAGTTAAGCCATCCAGTTTAACAAACTCAAATGCTTATTTTTCTGGTGCCTCTCTGGATGAACTTCAGTGTTACCTATGTCTGTCTTATCTTTCTGTAAATTCACTTTCCTAATAATTTGATCTCATGTTCAATGTTTTGATTTCATAAACTCTTTGTTCAGTCCAGTAGTACCTCACTTTTCATTTAAGTACATATATTTTTGACTGAGCAACCTTGTTACATGTTGTCATGAAACAGACCAAAATATCCCCATGGGGGAAGGTTGTCTCCATTCTGGAAATCATAAGCAGCAGCCTTAGAGAGGAACTCTCATTCTCTTAAGGGTTTTTATTCTTTTTATTTCTCCCCCCCCCTTTTTTTTTTTTCAAAGAACACCCTATGTAAATGTATTTCAGTAAACAAATAATCTTACAATCCCCAAAAGGTCCCAGGGTTTATGCTACTGTTTCATATCACACGAGGCTGTTAGGCCCACTGCCAGTGTTAATCCATTCCATGTTAGAAATCTAAAACCTCTCAGATGTATTAGGCAGCCGATCTGTGCTGGAATTTGGCTTAATTCCTGATAGTCATCCCCCTGCACTTCTTCAGTGGAGAGAAGGCTGGGTTTTTTAAGAACTTATCATTGGTAATTACTGAGATTTTTGCTGACTTTAGTGATTTTTGGGAAGTTTCACTGAAACTGTTACTGAATCCATGTTCTTGGCATCCAAAATGTAGTGGTCACTACTGGAAAACTGAAGGTCTTATGCCACAGAGTCAGAACATCCTATATTTGCCAGCATATACCACAGTTATTTCCTTTCCTCAGCCTGTGGAAATAGACACAACTGATAATTGCTAGCAAATGTCACATGCTGTGTTATTAGCAGAGAGGTTTATATAATTAATGAGCAGTCCAGAGATACTGATGCTCATTGCATTATTCTTACTTTGAAACACCTTAGCAGCTTTTTGCCTTTTATTTTTCAATCTATCTTTATGAAGCTTTGGAAAGGATGTCACAACACCACCAACACACATAGTAACCAATGACTTTTTTTTCTCTGAAGTTCATAGACTCAAGACAAAAAGTAGTGTCTTCTGATTTAGACAGATGAAGCAAACATTCTCTTTTAAAATAGATGCTAACAAATGTTAGCCAGTCTCTGGTTTGATATCCCTGTTTAGTGTATTCATGCTCTAAATTGGTTGCAACACAAGAAAAAAAGAGGTTTTTATTTAAACAGGAGTATCATGACATCACGGTCCTAAAGTGTAAAGGCAATAAAAGATCCATTCCAAGGGCTAGATGCAATTCCAGAACTTTTTTCCCTAAAATTCCCTTAATGCCAGAGGTGCATGTAAGCTATTTTACCCTCCACATCATCAGCCAAACAACTTGAAAAGCAGTTGCCATTTTTAGATAATTAATACTCTAAATCAATTCATGTTTGTTTTTATCTGGGTGTCCATTACACAATCTGTTGCTGTTATCCAACACAACAGCTGGGTATAATTTACTTCTGGCTTATCTGGCAGCTTACAGGCATAGAATTTAAACTCACAAATTCTTCAAAAGTGTTGGAAAATAGTTAACATAAAAGTAATTCCTTTCAGTAAACAGTTCTGTTTTCTCTGAGTTGTGTTGGACATTTTACACCTTTTTTACCCAATCTGGGAGCCTCTAAGCACCTGTACTAGCCTGTACCATTTGTAAGATAGTAAAATGCCATGAGATGATATCAACAGTATTTACCCAGCTAACAGCTTAAAAGGATAGTAGCGCCAAGATTTTGGGAACATGTGTGAGCGTGCTTAAAAAAGGTGTTTGGCTGACAGAGCTGTAGACTTGTAAACCACAAAGTCACAAGTGTGACTTCAGTAAGGTCAGAATGAGGAAATGCTCTTATGTGCTGCTCCGCTTAAAGGAATTTACTGTGTCCTTGTTAAGATTGAGATGAGGAGTGGTAAACTGGGAGCTGACTGGCGAATAGGTATTAAAATCTGCCTAAGACCTTCTGTAAATCTGGTCTGAAGATGTTGTGCAATAAGTGGAAGACACAGCAAAGCCCTTTGACAACCACTTGAAGAGGACTGTGACAGGAGTGATAAAAAGCAAGTGCTTTGCGTTTTTGGTCATTACACCTTATTCCACACGGATGTGCTCCAAGTTTCTGTGCATCCTGCCACTGACCAATGGCACAGACTCAGACACACAATGCTGTTAACAACTTTAACACACATGGAATGTAATGTACTTCTGGATGGCCTATTTGTGCCTGACATGACGTGCAGCACTATTGGCCACGAAGCCTGATTGCCATGTGAAGTTTTGAGGGTCAAGGCTCAAAAGGCAAAGAGGAACACTGGTAAAAAATTTCTAATCAGCAATGATGAAAAAATATCTGTCTTATTCAAAGCAAGAGAGCAAAAAGTTAATTAAAAAAAATACTCTGTATTTATGAATATTATTAAACAAATATACCAAAATATTAGTAAAGCACATTTTTCAAAAGAAACTTACGTGCATGGAATGAAAAATGTTTATATTTAAAAGTTGCTGTGGAAAATTTTTGCTTTGTAAAACACATTTCTTAAAAAGGAACATGGCATATAAACGCAAACATACATATACACACATCTGCACACACATTCTTCCCAAACCCGTAAGATGTCTGTTTGAAAGATGTCAGTTCTTTCAGTGACTTAAAGTTTCTTCAAGGCAGAAAACTATGGAAGATACAGTATAGCTGAACATCTGTCTTGTCATGTAGGCAGATATTAGGATTAAATTAACTAGAAATGAATAGAATGATATATGACAGGGTGCAGATGTCCCAGCCACAGTGTGATAATTTCATTGCAAAACTATGTAATGAATTCCATACATTAGAGAAACACAAATATACCACTTTAGGTAATTGTGATGAAAAGGTATAATATGGAATGGATAAACAGATGGTGTACCCAAAGGCATTTTTCGTTTACTCGTTGCTCTCTAGTAATTTTGAAATTGCTTTATTTGGTTTGCTGTGCGTCTATTATTACATCCTTTTTCTTCTTTTTAATTTTTTTTTTCTTCTTCTGAATCTGGATTCCATGAGGAGCATTAAGGGCCATTTTGGATGTCTGCTCCTGATAGATTGGTTAGCTCCTATTTTCTTTTGTAAACTGCACATAGCTGTGCTACATCTAAAGCCAACGTTTCCGTGACTTCATCAGAAATTGGATTGATTCTAGTAGCCTTTTGGCTTTATGTATTTTCTAAATTGGCACATGCTGCATCTGTGCTACTTGAATTAGCAGAACCGTTCATATTTTACCACAGATTATTAGCAAATTTTCCTTTATTACTTGCAAATGGGTACTTTGGATAGCATGTGAGATTCACTTGAGGCCTAACCATTTCCAATAGGTATATTAAAATGTGATTACATGAAGATGTATTTTACGATATGATTATCTGACCATCCCGAAAAATAAAACACCCTTTTACATCTGTCAACAGGTGGTTTTAAGTGATATAAACAGTCAAATCTGCAGTTTTGGAGAGTACAGTCAGCTCTTGACTTCTTTAATGTTCAAAGCTGAACAGCAGGGAGATCAGTAACTGAGGTGTTACATGTAGAAGTTTAAAATCTACTCACCACACCCACGTGTGCCTGTGCTCGGAGTCTGGACTGAGGCCCACTTGAAAGTGCAGAATTTTAGTTCTGCTGTTAGCTACATACAAATTAGCTGATGTCTCATTGACCTAAAAAGTAATAGCAAAATATTTTCAAATGCAGTTAAGACCAGGAAAAAAATCCAAAAGAAATATCTGAAGCATTGGTGTTCACTTGCAGTAAAGAGCTTCTGAGGTTATCATCACCTTCAGCTTCAATTCATCATTTAATCAGCCACAAAAGTTATTTATTGCCTTGTATTCTCCAATGTCATGGACGTTCCCCCTTAATTATTAACCATGTTTCTAATTTTAGGTCTATTTTTTAAGGAAAAAGTCTTCAGTAATTGAAACAAAACAGGCGAGTGTTGTCAGCTGATTTTATTTCTTTCCTAAAGCAAATCAGTGACTAAATATGGCAGTATTTTTATTACCACCAGTACAAACACATGCAAGCACCCTACATATTTCAATCACTTCTGCAGTGGTTGGTTTTATTGCCAGTTTTAATCGCTTTAATTTAATACAGTTTATATAGAGGTTTGATGAAGGTGCTAGTACCAAGTTCAAGTTTCAGTACATTAAAATGTTAACACACTGGTTACTGAATTTTGACTTTGTACCTGCTTGTTTCAGTTTCAGATTCAATGTTACTAATTTCTGTTTCTTAAGCTTTCAAAGGAACTGAATCTATTTAGAGTCATATGTTTTTAAATATGGAGGTAGCACAGTTCATTTTCTCATGATGAAAGCATATTTTGGATAATCATTTTTTTCCAGGCAGATGCCCAGTTTATCTCACTTAAATCAACTGTTTCTGACTGGACCAATTCCTGGATGAGTTAATTGAGCATGGCTAAACCCAAAATGCTGGACTAATCCAAGGAAATAGGAAGAGGTGATGACTATGAAGATTCTCAGCTTTCAGTAAAGGTGTTTAGTTGTTTACTTATATTCTCACAACAGAAGGAATGTAACAAACTCAGCCCACTGGAAATAATTCTGGGTAATCTCACTCCATTACTTTCAGTGAAATTGAGTCTGCTCACTCTACCCTTGTGAACCAACATCTCAGGGAAATAAGAAGGTAAATAACTCACTCATGCAGTACAAAATAACTGACAGAAGGAAAGGCAGACTGAAAGCTGTATGTCTTTAGTTTTTAATTTATATTAGTAGTTCACCATTAATGTATTAGCTTCTCAATAGTTACATTCAGTACAGGAAATCGGTGTATTGGTAATGCTGTTCATTAGTACCAGACTGTCTTGCACACATCACAGCTGTTCATTCACATTCACTTTTCAGACTTGGAAATTTTAGTTTGGTGAATACATATATCTTGTTTGACTCTCTTTTTCCTCACACCTCCGATGGAACCCTCTTCTGAGAAAGACGTACTAAAAGAAAATCAGATTCTTGGATATCTTAACTATGTAAGAGGGTAACTTTCTATTCTGAGTGCTTTGCATACCCTCATCTATCATTTTCTGTGATATAGTTCATAGGCAGACAGCCCATGGGACCAAGCATAGAAACCTATCACCATTGTAGCATGAAGCTGAGTCAGGGAAGGTTTAGGTTGGATATAAGGAAAATTTTTTTCACCCTGAGAGTGGCTGAGCACTGGAACAGGCTCCTCAGGGAAGTGGTTGCAGCACTAAGCCTGACAGAGTTCAAGAAGTGTTTGGACAATGGTCCCAGGCACATGGTGTGATTCTTGGGGTGTCCTCTGCAGGGCCAGAAGCTGGACTTGATAATCCTTATGGGTCCCTTTCAACTCAGTATATTCTATGATTCTATCTTAAAAAAAATAGTAAGATGAGCTCTAGATCTGAGGGTTGGACTTTTATGGGTCAGAAACTGTATTATGAATATTTTGGCTAATTATTAATTTTAAATGTGTAAAATCATAGCATTTTTGAGTTCTTTAATAAGTATAACTGAGATGATAATAACTGATGCAATTCTTTTAGTTACCAGTTCAATATTTCTGAAGGGTTTCTTCATTAGAATCTGGTCTTAATGTGAAATAACTGAAAAATGTTTCTTGTCTTTTGCTAGATCATCAGTTACCACAATTGTGAACAGTTATCCACCTGCAATCTAATAATCTCAGGTGAAATTACCTAGTGTCATTACTGATGTGCCATAGTGATACAGCTGTAATTAATCCATACAGCATCAGGGAAGAATTTGGTTCCTCTCTCTAATGTAATAACCAATTAAAGACCTTTGCAACTGTTCTGATACCTGTGAACAAAATGTGATGACAACCTACTAGCTGCATTAATGGACACAAACAAGTTTACAACGTTTGAACAGATCCTTTTGCTCTCCTGATGGAGGGAACAGTTACTGCTAGATGGCATATACTGTTCTTCCTAGGGCTCTTATCCATTGGCTTTGGATTTGAAGCACAGTCATAGAGCAATATGTTTGAAAAAGTTCACACCTTTTCTGTGCAGTAGCAAGCCAACGGTCAAAAAATTTCACTCAGGCTATGGAAATCAAGAAATGCTCTCAGGTGTCTGACAGCTACTGTAAGTACAATAATATACCTGAAATTATAATTCTACCACTCCCTGTAAACTTTCCATCTGTCTAAGGGTGACGTTAATTTTCAGTTTAAAAAAGCCCCAACAAATATTTTTCTTTTAGAAAACAAAAATTACTTAAAAGCTACCAGTCAACTACTTGCAGGCAAGGTCACAGAAGCAATGAGGCTTGTTTGCATGGAAGAAAAATTCTCAAAAACTTTCACAGCTATTTCACAGACCTACTACAGATGGTAGTAGGATGTAGTAGCACTATAGGATGGTTCTGCTGATAGAAAAGCATTGCCTATAGCAGGCACTTCTTGCAGGATGGTTTTGAATTGCACAAAAATAGTATTCTTCCTGTCTGCTAACCTCAGTTTGTAATTTTGACATTTCAAGAGATTTTTTTTTTTGCAAATTACTGCAGATAAATCGTTATTAGAAAAGCAGAAGCAAAAACCTGGAAACAAAAATCCTTAGCACCTCACTCTGACCCCAAGCCTTCCCTCTCAAAAAATCCCATCAATCCTCTCATAATACCTTGGTAAGCAGACATGCAAGGAATAGGCTTACAGTTTACCCAGTCTGGGTTTTTTTGAACAAGGCAGCTCTACTGGAGAAGGAATCAAGAAAATGCTGGCATAGAGGAGGAAGAAAAAAAGTAGCCATGGAGTCATTCTGAAAGGTGATGACCTGCTGGGTCATCTGAGGTTATCAGCTAAATTAGGTAGTGGAATCAAACCCAGCATGAAAAACAGACAAGAATATCCTTATGTGCAAATCCAAACCCCATTTTTTTCCTGTTTGTTTTTGTTTGCAAACACTGAGATGCTTGAGCAGACTTCTGAGGCTTTTAATAGAATTAAAAAGAAATCTAGAGACTTTGGTTTTTAATTTTACATATTTCCTGTGTGGCTACTTACTCTCAGTATTTACTTTTCTGATATTAAGGAAGACAGGTTGTTAAGTGGATTTGTCATTGTGAATGACACTAGCATAGCTAGGCCTTTAAAAGTGAGCTTCTTCCTGACTATTCATAAACTAGACTGGTCAGTCTGTTACATGTTAGCTCCTTATCTATTTGTTCCTGGTCTGGATCTACAACCTGATAGTAATTTTGACCCTGTTCACAAGTAATTAATGAATGCAATAAAACTGAATGGCAACTACCCATATCTATTTGTAGTAAGTTCTTCACACAGCTCTACATGACAGTCACTTGTGTAGAAGACCAAGTGGATCCTAAGCTTCTGTAAACATATATATATTTCTAAAGGTGGCTAGGGTCACACACTAGCAAAAAGGAAACAGTTTTCAGTGGTCACAATGACTGGTGATACTCAGAAATAAACATGATCTCACTTCTATCAGAGTGAGATATGCTCAGGAATAAAGATGTAGGTCAGACATTACTGAATGCAATATAAAATATTCTAGATTACAGAAGAACACAAAATCTTTTTGCTATTTTGAGGGAGATGTAGTAGCACTACTTACCACATTTCTTCATTTCTTCTCTCTCTTTCCTCCTCTCACCACTACTGGAAATCCAACAATAGACATTTCTGTTAAAATGTTGAGGAAATCAGTAGGATTTCCCCCTCACAAATTTCAGTATTGATCAAACAGCAAGCACTGTGTGACAAGAGTGTTCCAGACAGGTTAAGTCCTACTCTTTGAATCTGCATGTTGCAGCACTAGCAAATTCAGTGTGATGATTTCTGTCATGAATGTTATATATGTGCATGGATCAGAGCAACTGACTTGTAGCACCTTCCCCACATGGCTTGGCCTGGCTCACCTATTACAGTGGGAACAGGCATTAATATCTCTGTCAGTTAACTGTGAGACATTTTCACTGTGATATGTCAGCTTGCTATCCAGTAGAATTTGTGAGTACTCAGTAATGCTAAAACTATAGGCCAATGAATTTTTAATATGCTATTAAGTCCATGGATACATACTTACCCCATTTCCAGCAATACAACAAGACAAATTTTATTCCCAATTACTGTATTACAGCAAAATTTGTAGTCATGCAGTGTGTCATTTTGGCAAAATGATAGTAATAGTGTATGGATGTTTAAACTTTATTTTTTTGCAGCCTTGATTTATTTACGCAAGTGAGATATCATTCATGAATTTTAATCAAAAAACTGGGTTTACAAAATATCAATGCATTTACAGTCACCAATAAGTCCTGTTAGCTGAAGCAAGGCTATGAAAAGAGTTAATGTCTAATATTTGTAAGCTCCATAGAGTTTGTGTCTCATCTGAGGCATTGTTGCATAAAATGCATTTCATGTTTGGAAAAAAAAAATAAAATTATGACTACAGTTATGCAGACTAGGGAGACCATAGGGAATATTGTGATTTCTAAGGTTTCTGGTAAGAAGGCTTCTCAGCATATGTGCTGAGAAATACATTGCTACAAGTCTTTATTAATTTATTTATCATGCTGCAATTCTCTAAAAAAAGAAAATACTTATTCTATAATGAAATCATATGTAGATCTAATCACAGATTAAATTTAAATAATTTATATGTAAAATTAATTTGCTTAATAGTATAGGAGTTCAGTTAGCTATACGGCAGCTTTACTGGTGT